ACTTAAGAAATTAATTGGAGCCAACAACTGTTTGGTTGGTTTAATTGTCATGAGCTGTAGGACATAATTTCATGTCCTTGAATTTATTCTTCACTCATAAAGCAGTTTCATTCAGGTTTGATTCCCCCATGTACCACACTGTCTGACATTCGATTTAATAAGTTCTGAAACTAAACCATACACTTCAATACAATTTTATTTATGTAGCGCCAATTCATAACAGACGTTATCAAGTTGATCGTTTCATATAGAGCAACAACACAAGATAACAGAACTTTGTAATAAATCTTACAAACTTGCTCGCTTGTTTTGAACAATGAGACTGGCTTGATTTGTTGACACTCTATTATAATGTAATTATTATAGTTTACATGCTGTTAATTTATATTTTGCTCTCTAACAACTTTTTATCCATGTTTATGACAAAGACGTGTAGACAAATGGGATGTCTGAGACTGTGGGTAGGCACTCCTTGGCTAAACAGGGTAACAAGCCAAGAAGGTTGGGAAGCAATGCTGTAAAACAATGCAGCAGATTTCCTGTGAGTTCCGGCTGTGGTAGCAACACAAAATTCGGAGGGTTGGTAGAAGCAGCAACGTCATCGCATTGGTCTTAATTGTTTAGAGTAATTATGACAAATCATCTTTATGCCAACATAAACCTAGGCACTATAAATCAATTTATGTGTACAGTTTTGATGTTCTCAAGCACTGACAAAGGGTTGTGTGCTCCAATAAAAGTTTAAAAGACTGACTAACTATGGTGATACTTAAATTAGGTCTCTTCATCATGCAAAACTCTCCCTTGACATAGCGGGTGAATATCCTGTAGAGACACTGCTACCTTATTTCCTGGTTCCTTGCACTTTGAATAGATCAGCACTTAGAAATTTGCCTCAGTGGCTCTGCTCTGGGGCGTGTATCATTTGGCCCCAAAATTCACTTTTCCCCACCAGTAAGCACTATCTCCCTCGCACCCCCGTGAACCCCCGACAAAGACCTTGCCATCTGTCAGTGTCGTTCGCCGCAAAGTGGCTGCGATTAATTGAAAAACAATGGCGGGGCCAAGTGGGAGGGTCAAAGCAATATGCATCGTGGCCTCGCCGGGTCACCTCCTCATTTCCTCATTGTCGAAACCCCTTCTCCTGACATTAGATGCAGAGACATCTGAACACATTGTGCCTGTTTGGTTTAATGTCCTCCCCTCTTTTGGCAGTGGGTACTATCAGGCGGACAGATCCAGGAGACTCTATCTGTCTCAGTCCATGTCAGTGTAACACAGTGCTAATGAATGCTGAGGGGGATAACATGGATTTGATCCCAGATGACAGGAGGCTTCCTCTATGACAGCACTCTGCATGAGTTATGAGATATGAGGTTAACAGTGAAAGTGAGTGAAGAGCGCAATGTTATTTTAAATCCTGAATGAGTTTCAAGCACCTCGATCTCGAAGTTTCAACTATCCTGCCTCTGGAGTGAAGTCTTCCTCAGTGTGATGGGTTTTCCTCCTCCTATGCAGCCTCAGCAGATCGAATCATCCTGCACACATGCTTTCAGGGTTGACTGAGCAGCTTCTCGCCCTCAGTAACCAGGTGAAGTGACCCTGTCTATATGCAGACTTACAGCTTGACACCTCCGTTTACAGCCACCCAGCCCGTTTTGCTGACACCATATTGCAAGCTGATACATCAAAGCGACGGAGCCAAGCAAGAGTTGGTCATCTTTATGTCACCCACCAGACTTCATCATCCATAATTCTCAGATAGATAACTGGTGTTGTTGTACCAAGGTAAATCTTGGCACATACACATAAAATTATGCTACCTTATTACTGTTTTTTAAATCAATTTATTAATACTGTTAAGCAGTTTTACTCAGTTTTGGGTTTGGATTATATGACTAGGTGTAACAGGAAAGGGGTCTCTCATACATAGCATAGCATTCAGCAGTTAAAGAACCTGATAGGTCTTTCAGAATAATATGTGTATGTTATATACTGTATGATTGTCTAATAACTTCTGTTGAGTGTTACAACTTTAAATTATTTTACTGATAACAGATACTGGGCTAACAATGATAACTAGTTAGCTATCAGGTGCTACTGTATGCGATGGAAGGATACATTCTAAATGTTAATAACTTATGAAAAAGGCAAAACAATGCAAATTGCGACTCAACGAAAAAGGGAGAAGCCACACAGTCACACGTAGAGATGAGACCGAGGACAATAAGAAGTCAGCGTTGCTCCTGCACTGCTGGGTATGTCAATGCAGACATACAATGTGCCATGAAGACACATCATATTGTAATGGGTATTCAGTGTCACTTTTACAGTTCCCCCAGCAACATCTTTTAATCATCTTCAAAATGTGTTTTGCTTTTCAACGTAGACAAGCCTAGCAGATAGAATATCTAAGTCCAGAAAAGGGGAATGTAGACAGAGTTTCTGCTGCATACCAAACTTGCTCAGCTGTTTTTGGAGAACAGAGTGAAAAGGGGCAGGTGCTGGGATCAGTCAATTGGAATGCAGACTGTGGATTTGTGATTGTTGAATGGAAATGTCACGGTCACTTTGATATGTAACTAATATACAGTATAAATCATGCCTTGTTATATTTGAAATAGAGATGTCCAATCAGTGTAGGATTCTGCCTTAAGATCTAAAAGCACAGCTCATATGCCAACGCGATCAAAGACTTGTAGGTTAGCAAGAGGACTAGCATTTTAAAAATATAATGCTATCATATAAAAAATCTGGCTTATTTTAAAATAACATCAAATCCAACTGATATTGAACATTGTACAGTATATATTATGTTACCAATGGCATTGAGTTCCTGGAAAATGAAAAGAGGCAGAACAAAAAATGGGCAGAAATGTTTCAGTGATCAACCCCAGATTTTCATCACATCCTCCAAATCAATCTTCCATTTCATTTTAAGAATTCAGCATATCAAGGTGTTTGAAAATTAAATCATCAGTAGTTATGACATTCTGAGGAGATCACAGCAGGTAGATTAGCAAATCAATAACTTCTATTCTGGAAATTAAGAGTAAATCATATCCGTGAAAAACAATAACAGAGTGTCAGCGTCATTGCTGCCATTAGAAGACATGTAATTATTGCACTTCAGGAAACAATGCAAAAATAACGGACATCTCATCTATACACTCACCTAAAGGATTATTAGGAACACCATACTAATACTGTGTTTGACCCCCTTTCGCCTTCAGAACTGCCTTAATTCTACGTGGCATTGATTCAACAAGGTGCTGAAAGCATTCTTTAGAAAGGTTGGCCCATATTGATAGGATAGCATCTTGCAGTTGATGGAGATTTGTGGGATGCACATCCAGGGCACGAAGGTCCCCTTCCACCACATCCCAAAGATGCTCTATTGGGTTGAGATCTGGTGACTGTGGGGGCCATTTTAGTACAGTGAACTCATTGTCATGTTCAAGAAACCAATTTGAAATGATTGGAGCTTTGTGACATGGTGCATTATCCTGCTGGAAGTAGCCATCAGAGGATGGGTACATGGTGGCCATAAAGGGATGGACATGGTCAGAAACAATACTCAGGTAGGCCGTGGCATTTAAACGATGCCCAATTGGCACTAAAGGGCCTAAAGTGTGCCAAGAAAACATCCCCCACACCATTACACCACCACCACCATGATGGATCCATGTTCTCATTCTGTTTACACCAAATTCTGACTCTACCATCTGAATGTCTCAACAGAAATCGAGACTCATCAGACCAGGCAACATTTTTCCAGTCTTCAACTGTCCAATTTTGGTGAGCTCTTGCAAATTGTAGCCTCTTTTTCCTATTTGTAGTGGAGATGAGTGGTACCCGGTGGGGTCTTCTGCTGTTGTAGCCCGTCCGCCTCAAGGTTGTGCGTGTTGTGGCTTCACAAATGCTTTGCTGCATACCTCGGTTGTAACGAGTGGTTATTTCAGTCAAAGTTGCTCTTCTATCAGCTTGAATCAGTCGGCCCATTCTCCTCTGACCTCTAGCATCAACAAGGCATTTTTGCCCACAGGACTGCCGCATACTGGATGTTTTTCCCTTTTCACACCATTCTTTGTAAACCCTAGAAATGGTTGTGCGTGAAAATCCCAGTAACTGAGCAGATTGTGAAATACTCAGACCGGCCCGTCTGGCACCAACAACCATGCCACGCTCAAAATTGCTTAAATCACCTTTCTTTCCCATTCTGACATTCAGTTTGGAGTTCAGGAGATTGTCATGACCAGGACCACACCCCTAAATGCATTGAAGCAACTGCCATGTGATTGGTTGATTAGATAATTGCATTAATGAGAAATTGAACAGGTGTTCCTAATAATCCTTTAGGTGAGTGTATATATGGCCTTTAAAAAGCTTTTTCTCCTTCTAATTTGACCTATCTTCTACCAGCAATGTCTTAACATTTTTACTACAGTTACAGACCTCGAGGCATTCAAGGTTAAGTTGGAAACTAACCAGACTTCAAACTTAACTAGTTGAAAAGAAAGTTAAGTGAGACCCCGACCTGCAACACTTAAAATAAATATAACACAGCCACTTGCTCTCCCATGTCCTCTTTTTTTAAAATATCCCAGGGTACTGCATTTAACGACATCTTTAACTTCCTTCATTGCCCATCATGAAAGGATTTTCTAATGTATTTCTGCTACTATGTAATTAACATTAAAATTATTCATCTGATACTCGTCAGATTGCCGACAACCAGTGGTTATGTCAGGCACTGTTCTAAAAAAGATGGCAGAAGGGTTCAATTACCTCTGGCTGAACAAAACCACTGTCTCCAGTGCTTGATGCGTGGCCTAATACCACATGATTTGATTATTCTGCACAAGCAAACACATGCAAATTGCATATCAGTTTGAAGTTGTTAATTTCTAAGCGTGTTGATTAAGTGTAAGAATATGTCAGAGATATCTTGCCAGGTATTGATGTGGATTTCAAATTGAAAACATGGAAGAAAACTTCAAAATCATTTTTTATCAACAGGAAAGAAAGAAAAACAATCAAGGCATGTGTGCACAATTTTCCTCTTAAATAAAACTAAAGAAAGCCCGCCGGGGTTAACCTTGGAGGCCGTTTTACAAAGTGAAGGGAGATAAAACATGGGCCGACCTGGTTGTTCACTCTGCCATCCAAGCCTTTGTTTTTCTCACAGTGTGGATGGCCATCTGTCAACCTTACCTAGAGAGAGGCAATGATTTTTGCTCGCCTGAATGAACACCCAGCAAAGCAATATTTCACATGTTAGCTCTGAAAAAAGACCCGTCTCAGGGGATTTTGCTTACTGGAGTGATGTGGTGATGTACATCAAGAGTGATAGTAGTGCCTTAGTGATGGATCAGATGCTGCAGCAAGTCTGGTAAACTAGGAACACCAAACTCTCTTAAAGCCCTGGTTGTTGAATTCCTGCTTTTTAAATGCTGCCTACTGGTTTTTGCTCTATGGAGAAAAAAACGATCAGCGTTACAATACATATTGGCCTGAATTATTATTAGATTGAATTTCACTCATCCTTTCGTCATTCATCCATCCATTCAGGATCATTCGGCGCCTAGGGCCTAACCCAGCATGCTTTGGGAAAACACTCTTCTCTGCATGTGTTTAGAAAATGCTCAGTTTCTGAAATTACATACCATTTAGTGCCACATTTATAAGATTTGTAGATGATACATGGACAATACACCACATTGTTCCAGACTAAACTATCTCGACAACTATGAGATGGATTGCCACACAGATACAGATATCCATAGTGTCCAGAAGATGATTACTAATGACATTGAGTTTCCCTCTAGTGTACCAACAGCTCAAATGTTTTCAATTATCCTGTGAAATATCTCAACATCTACTCAGTAGATTGGTACTAAATTTTGGACACACTTTTGTGTTACCTGACGATGAATCCTAATGATTTTCGCGATCCCCTGATGTTTCCACTAGAGCCACCATGAGGTGCATGCTTGTGGCTTTGAATCAAATATCTCAACAACTAGTGGATGGATTGCCATGGAATTTAGTAAAGACATTCCTGTCTTCTTCCAAATGAATTGCAATAACAGCAGGGACACTGCTATTTAAACTGTGTCGGTAGCGACTTCCTCATTGGGCAGCTATGCACATGCAAAATTAATTGGGTGAATACGTGCTTGTGGTTGGAGAAAGCTATTACCTATAGAGTCCAGTAGAGGGCAGAGCCTGTGTAAGACAGAACATTCTAAATTAAGACGGATGAAATTAGTTCAAAGCACTGCTGTGCAGCCAAAATATGTCTGTAGGACTACTCTTAGTCTTGTTTAGGTGATGTCTGACAAGTTAAGTTAATTTATACAGTTTATAATCACAAATTTGTCTCTCAAATTTGACATTCTGTATCTTTAGATCCATGATTCAGAAGTGATGTAAGACTTGACAAACCTGACTAGCAGTTCATCAATATCTTTTACGGCCCTAGTGTTTACTTGTGTTTCCCTTTGCCTCTTTTCCCAGTGTTCCCCTTTGTGTGTCTCTCTCTCTTTCACTCTCTATGTTTTGTTTGTGAGTGTCTGTGTGTGTATTAGCGTGTGCACGGTCTCCCTTCCTCGCTCTCCTGGCTCCCGGTGAGGCTCATCCTGCTCACCTGTCTGCAATCAGCTCATCCCCTCTCCCAGTCTGCTCACCTGCCACTCATCAGCTCATTATATCACCCCTGCTCTCCAATCAGATTGTGGATTCACCTCAGTGGGGGCTACTTTCATGGCCAACTTATTTCATGCCCGTAGAGATTCAGTTTCTTTGTGTTTTGTGCTCTAACCTGTGTTTTCTTGTGTGCCAGCACACTAAAGGTTGCTAACCTGCCTGACTGCCAGCTGTCTCCTAGATACCATGCTAATCCTTTATATCTATAAATTGCTAAGCTCCCTGAAGTTAGCAACACCAGCAACCATAGTTAAATGTTTTCCTCAGGCCATAGCATTAAAACTGCTGGCTAAGGATAAGCACAAATACAGTAAGATTGTTATTTACTTTGGCAAAAATGACACTTGATTACGCCAATAGGAGGTTACTAAAATGAATGCTGAGTCAATGTGTACATGTACAAAGACATTGTCAGACTCTGTAGTTGTCTTTGGGCCCCTGCCAAATCTGACCAGTGATGACATGTTTAACATGACATGTGACATGTCATCATTCCACCGCTGATGGTGGTGTCCAGCATAGGATGTGGGCTTTGTAAATAATTGGCGGACTTTCTGGGGCAGACCTGGTCTGATTAGGAGAGATGGCATTCATCTCACTTTGGATGAAGCAGCTCTCATATCTAGAAATCTGGTGAAGTTGAGTAGTGGACCAAATCCATGACAACCCAGAGTTGAGACCTGTAGACAGAGTTGCAGTGCTACATGCTTCTCTGTGCTTCCGTTACAGCAGTTACCAACTCAAAACCACAGTGACGGTGTCTGCCCCCCAACCACTTAAATTAATTACATCAAAAGTAAATAGAAGAGGAGCTGTGCATAAAAACCTAATAAAAATAGAAGAATTAAATGTGGACTCTTAAACATCAGATTTCTGTCACCCAGGTGAATCCTGTGATGATGTACTGGGACTGAAATCCAGCCCGGGACTTGGAGACAGAGAGGACTTTTATACGAGCACCCTGTGGGGGCGCAGAGAAAGATTTTTGTAGTTACCTCAACATATAGTGTTGTATTTGTATACAGTCAATTGCATTATGATGAAGACCTTCAAGAAACATTTTGACACCTGCCTCTAAAGTTTGTTTAATCAAGGAACCACTGAACAAGATCGGGCCAGGTAAGTCGGAGTCAGTCAGAGCAATAAAATAGATAAATATAATCAAACTACAATGCAGTCCCATAAAACAGAGCAGTGTATATGTGCATGCATAAAAATAAAATCCCTCATCTTCAGCACTGAGTAGGCCTATCCCTGGCTTAGCTTCCCCTATGCTGGACCTTAACTCTGCTTGAAGTGAGCTACATGAGAAGAACATCAGTAATAAATATAACTAACAATAATCCATTCTCTAATTCTATCTATGGGTAATTGCATAGCCAGTCCTCTTTTGGGCACCACACATTTGTTTTCCCCCTTTCTTTCTTTTCCATATATTTACCTGCTCTGTTGTGCTTGTCACACAACCCTGGGCTGAGTTTATCGGGGCTGTTGAGCCAATCAGATTTCAGCAAAAACGAGGATCGGTCTAAGTTGGGAGGGGCCGCTCGTATCCCCACCCAATATTGAAAGTATTGGGCTGCGTCCGAAAAGTCAAAACAATCTCCTTTCCAAACCACCTTTCCTTGACCTCAATGAAAAATGTCATGAAGTCAAGGAAAGCTGTAAAGGAGAATTCATAAGGACTTAGGAAAAGAATCCGACTGCTCTTTTCTAGACGACGTAATAATGCGACGGCACATGTTTCTGACATGGCCTGCCGTGAAAAAACTACAATGTCCCGAAGATGTACTACAAAAAGCGCATCTCTGACACTGCGCCCCCTGTTGTTTTTAATGCAGGCCATCTAAAGGTGGACAACATGGTAGAATATATTAGTAGGCCTACTTCATAATCAAGATAGTAAAAAGGCCTGCAGGGTAGCCTGCCAGTCCCGAATAATGGAAAGGGTTGTAACATTGAGAATGCTTGCTCACACTCACCCTCCTGCCCCACCCTTATTTATCAACATGAATCCCAATTATTGTTTGTAAACACATTTCCCACAAAATGACAGTGTAACTGTGGAGAGAGAGTGGGGGGAAGCAACCAAGCGAGAGCAGGTGCTGAGCAAATATATGCGCTGCCCATATTAGATAGTAAGAAAACGCGGTCAGCGTTGATAATGTGTCAGGCCAAATCAGTGTGTGGGAAACACTGAAATAATACATTACATTTACTGTAGACGTCATCCAGCTTGATCATGGCCTTAAACAGGCACCTTTTTCCAGAAAAAACGTCTAAAATAACATACCCAAACTGAATCAGGAATAACTCCAACCATTTGGCCTAGATGCATAATTCTGGTCTCCTTTGAAAAGTCAGAAGCTAAGGAATATAAATCCATTGTATATTTAATATTTATTTTACTATTACAGACTACATGGAGATGCAATAAAGAGAATCTGATATTTTCATCCTCGCCTGGTAAAAAAAAAAAAGCTATATTTTAATGCAATAAATCATAAGGAAGCTTTTAATGCAACTGAATACCTTCTAATACACCTAGAATGCAATTGTAACTGTAAATCTGAAACTAAAATACAACAGTTATCATACAACATTTTTAAATATACCAGGCGAATGTCCATATTTTGGCAAATTTACTGTTAAAATGTTGTCTTTTATTGGTAGATATCTTTAAAACACTTTCTGTCCATACAACCAAGTTTCAAATGACAAAACAATGAAATATTGATTAAAAACAGGAGTATTCATCAACATTCCTGTCACCAAAAGCACTCCCATGCTTTTCAAGCCTGTAAACTGAGAACGGAACATCCCACAGCGGCTTGAGCAGACCTTTCATTTGGCACCCTGCATGTCTGTCTCTCCAACGGATCAGCCACAAAATGGCGAAAAACACCGTGTGTTCTCTGCAGAAATGTCGAGAGCAGGCAGGCAGATTGCAGGTATTGCGCAATAATCAAGATGGTGCCCGCTTAGACTCGGAGCAACATCGGTGGGTTTGAGTTAAAACGGCGAGGAAAAAAAAATTCAGTAATTTTGCCCAGAGCACGGTTGGGCATCTGTTTTCAACAGGTTAAGGTTCCTACCTGAGTGAAGTGACCCTGAAGTATTTCAGTGGCAGCCATGATAAGAGCTGGTCGAATTCTCTAAAAGCTAAGGAAAGGAGCCTCAATGCTTCCTTTCATATCTCCTTTAGCATAGGGTACACCGGACCATCCTTTACGAAAGGAAAGAATGGCGTCGCACAATTCCTTGCAGCGGCAACATTTAAAGCAATGCACGTTCTCAAACTCAAAAGATAAAATCCATTGACCACATTTAGCAAAATCCTTGCAACACAGACGCACATTATGATACCTGAATAAGACTCACAATTTCCTTCTTTCTTTTGGTTTGTTTTCTTTTGGCTTTGCTGTAATCTGATAGGCTACTGTTTCAACACTATTTTATGTTTCGGATTGTTGAAATATGCTTTAAAATGTTTTCTACAATGATAAAAAAAAATCACTGACCATGATGGATAAAGGATGTTGAACAGCATGTAAGTTACCATTGGCTATTAAGCCTTTTCTCTCTTAAGCCATAACTCCCTGTATGCATAGGCTATGTCTTGAACTGTCAACAATAACTGAGACCCATGCGAGCTGTGTTTATAGTCTTGTAACGTGATCAAAGTCAGGGTAATGTTGCAGCGTGTAGGTTCACATAATGTATTTCCAGGCTTCAGCAATTTCATTAATTGATTTTTACATAAGTCACAGATGCCGACACCCTTGCCTTAAGCAAAAAAGACTTTTCGGACGCAGCCTTGGTTTGGCCCAGTCTGATAGACACAGACAGCTGACGGCAGCACGGTCACGGATTATTTAGAGTTAAAATTAAGAAACTGAAAAATAAATACTCAAACTACTTAAATACCAGCCGGTTCGACCTGAAATGGACCGGCCATTCAGGATTGTTCCCAAAATTCCAGATGGCAAATCTGCCCCAGGTCCTAAACCATCCCTTATGATGCTATAGGCCTACACTGCCAGGAGATCTCCTATGATGCACTGAGCTTCTCTCTCCTCCTCTCCCTCTCTGTATGTTTGCAATCTTTTCCCGTCAATTAGGGCTGCTTGATTAATCTAATCAAATAGCAAATGCAGTCACGATGTCATTCTGTGTGATTACATAACCGCAAAAACTTAATTGAATTAAATCAAAAAGAGTGTGTGTTTGTGCGCACACTGCAGTCTGCTCATTATCCATGCCAACCCCTCTCACATATGCCCCTAAAAACTGATACGTACAAACCAGAAAAATTATTTAAGAGTTGTGTGCAGGTAACGA